ACTGCTTAAACAGGCCTGCATCTGTGCTTTGCTTCTCTTCAGAAGCTATGAACAGTGCAATTGCCACAGTTATAAGTTACCACACTGCCCTACATGCTTACTCTTAATGTGAAAACATGACAGAGAAAACATATTAAGGCCTACACGTAGGATAATAAGCTTAGAGATCAGCCCAACTCCAACAAAGGCTATGGTTGGTGATCAGTCCTTTAAACCCAACCAAGCGTCTTTTCTGTAGCTATAAGTTCATTACAGTTTTTTACTCAGAACCAGGGCCGGCTCCAGGCACCAACTTGCCAAGCAGGTGCTTGGGGCGGCCACTCCGGAGAGGGGCGGCACGTCCAGCTATTCGGTGGCAAAAAGGACCTCCCGCCGAATTGTCGCCACAGATCACGATCACGGCTTTTTTTTTTTGCGCTGCTTGGGACGGCAAAAACCCTGGAGCTGGCCCTGCTCAGAACAAGCACCCATATCCATAGGATAACCCTTCCTTCATACAGGTTGGGCCTTTCATCTTCAGAGACCGTGAATATGTAAAAACAACGAGGAGTCCTTGTGGCACCTTAGAGACTAACAAATTTATTTGGGCATAAGCTTTCGTGGGCTAAAACCCACTTCATCAGATGCATTGAGTATAACATACAGTAGAGAAGTATAAATACACAGCATATGAAAAGATGGAAGTTGTCTTACCAAGTGGGGGGTCAGTGTTAATGAGCCAATTCAATTAAGGTGGAAGTGGGCTATTCTCAACAGTTGACAAGAAGGGGTAGAAATCACTTTTGTAGTCCTAATGAGGCCAATGTAAACAAGGTGGCCCATTTCAAACAGTTGACAAGAAGGTGTGAGTATCAGCAGTGGGGAATTAGTTTTTGTAGTGACCGTGAATATGTAATCAGTCAGACAATGATTCTCTCCTCAGGGCATCGCTTCAAAAGGTTGGATTCAGAGGTGGGAATTTGCATTCACCTCCCCGTAGGTATTTCGGAGGAAACCCACTTAACTTGGTCTATCCTAAGAGTATGTTTTTGTCTGGCACATTGTTTAAAATAGTCCTTTGATGCTCAGAAAGCTTCCTAGGGTTTACATTAGTCATCTTTTCACCTGGCCACTCTTCCCCCCCCCACCCACCCGCCCCGAGAAGTCACACACAATACCCCAATAATACATGAACTTTGCGTTTACAATACAGAAGGACTCCAAAACTGTTTAAACTTAATTCAGTCAGCTCTCCCAAAGATATTGCAGGAAATTGCCATATGTGTTGCAAAGTGATTGTCACACATCAATTCACTCCTGATTACTGTGTT